TTTTATTCCATCTCATTCAGCATTGTTTCTACAAACAGAGAGATTCCTCCACTCAGTGATCCGCGTTGCCACCCCTGGGTCTCTTCAAGAGGCTGAGCTGAAAACATAATGTTTTGCGGACAAATATAATGCAGCGACGCTAGATCTACTTTTTTTGTGTGTCGTTGACACCTTCAGGCATTTCAGAGAAACCCAGCGCAATCGCCCATTGACGAAGTACTTGTAAAGCAGCCTGTGAAAAAAAAAAGCAGTGCACCCGAGGCAAACCTTGCGAAGTGCGCCGCTTACTACCCGCGCCGCTCACATCAGCGCCCCTAGCAGGATCGGCGCGCCGAAGGACCTTCTCCGGCAAGCGAAAAGCGCCGCGGTCATCACGCCTCCCCATTCTAGCCACGCTACCGTCACCATTCCCAAGAAGACATAGGAGGGGTCACACCTGGCAGGAAACAGAAAGGGTCACGCAAAATCACCTGGTGCGACATAGTCGTGGGAACAAAGGCATACTCTGCGCACGGGCACCATCTCTCCGGTCGCCCGTGGGCAGCCGCTGACCCCGGCCATGCGGCTAGGATGGAGAACATGGAGAAAGAGAATAGGGAGCTTAGAAAAGAGTTGGCCAAGGCCAGAAAGCAGAATGAAAAATCAACGCGGAAAATTGAAGAGCTACAATAGACACTAAACGAAGTCCTCAAGTGAATGGGAGGACACCCCGCAGAGACCCCATCCTCTGGCGCCTCCTCGTCCCATGGAGCTGCCGATGAACACGACACAACTTCAGCAGTAGGAGATGGGGACACGAACATGTGCTGCGGATGTGAGTATGAAGCTTCGGTGGAAGTGGGCTTTAAGCGTAAGAGCCAGAGCGATTCTCAACATTTTTGAGGCGCTGAAAATCACACGCAAGAACCGAAGCAGGCACGACCGGGAGGCCGAAAGATAGACGCGATCGAAGAAATGGTAGACAAACTAACCAACAAGACATGGCGACTGTTTGAGACGCTCCTCATTCGGCTGAACTATAGTCTACTAGAATATGGGGTAGTATGTTCAGGGAGGTCCCGTGGCTGAAACATTTGGTATCGAAAGCCACGAAATTGCGCCACCTTAGCATGGGCTATCACCTCACGCTTTGCCTTTTATGCACTTCTGTGCTTTGATATTAGTAATAGCAGGGCTTTAACGTCCCAAAACCACCATATGATTATGAGAGACGCAGTAGAGGACTGCTCCGGAAATTCGACCACCTGGGGTGCTTTAACGTGCACCTAAATCTAGGTACACACACCTCAGTATTTGCGCCTTCGCTGAAAATGCAGCAGCCGCTGCCGGGATTCGATCCCGTGATAAGCGCTTGCATACGTGATTGCTGACACGTCCGCGAAAAACTTTCTAATGGGTATGTTTGTACTGCATTCAAAACGAAACGAAATGTCAAAGCCGCAACACACGGTTTAAATGCAGGTATTAACAAACGACGGCGAAGCAGTCATCGCTGGGTGAACTTCTTGCAGTTTTTAAAGCTCGGTTGGTGAACGAATAAAAAATCAGGAATATTGAGGTATCGAAGGAGCATCTATAACCCCGAAAGTTTCTTGTTAAATTACCGTTATATCGAGTCGTAGTCTGCACACTGCGACAGCTTCGACTTCCTTCGTTACGCGTGCGGCACTATTCTTGTCGATAGTTGCATCATGCAATTTTAATTGTGTTGCTAAAGTGACAAAACTGCCATTTGATTGAGAGGCACGCCGTAGCTGAAGACTTTGGAATAATTTGGCAATCTTGGGTCTTTAAACGATTACGCACCCGCCGAAATACTGCTACCGTGGCCGGGGTATTGCACTGTACAGTCAAAAGAAAACATCACTTGGCACCACTGTCAGACTGTGAGAAGAAACCCTTGATTTACGAACACGCATACTGCAGTGAGCAGTGACATCAGTTAAATTCGTTGCCATTCTGTGGAATTATCAGTTCACGATCACTTCATCGCGGTGGCACCTTTATGAACACCGAGTGATTTTCGCGTGCAGCTTTTTTTTTGACTCTCGAGACTGGTTGATACCCTTCACGAAAAAATGAAGTCGTGACAACACGTAAATTACCGCTCTTTTTGACTTGAGATGCGGTGCGATCGAGCTCATATCAATTGAAGGTAAACAATGCTTGAGTAAACGTTCAAGCGACGCTGCAGTCCCTGTAGTGTTCGCCCCTCTTGGGTTCGTAGCCAGCAGGAAGGTCCATCGATGAACCTGAATCAGTGGCCTCACCGTCAACACAGGGTGCTGCAGTTTTCTTAGAGATGGTAGATTCTACCGCCGAGTTCTTCCACTTTCTCAGAGGTCTTGGATGCGGCGCTTTCTTCGATAAGTAGCTTGGGGCGTTAGGCAGTAACATCGGCACAGCGTCCGGCGTTAGCTCTGGCCTCCTACGTGGTACACGAACTTTTTCGCCGTATATAACGTGCACGTATTCTCCGAGAACACTTGAAGGCTCGAAGTGTGGCTCACATACAAAGCAGCTTTTGTTCAAGGTCCCTTCTTTTCAATGTAAATTCTGTTCCCAAACCTGCCTCCGTGTTTCGTCTTTGGGTGCAGCGAAAAGCGACGGCTGCTCACCTTTTTTTCCAATGGTACACCCTGTTTCGCACCTAGGTGCAAAGCAGTGTCGTAGCCGCCGATAACTCGGCATGGCCTCACTGTCGTGTGGCCAGCAAAAATATTGCCAGAAAAACTTTCGTTAAGCAAGCGCGAACACAAGCAATAGGTTACTGAACAGCACCAGAGAAGGCAGAGCGGTGCGGAGCTGACAATCCTGCCAGTCCATGCTACGACAGCGCTGCCTTGAGAACCGGTTTTCTGTCCACGTGCGACGCTTCACGCGATGCATGGCGAGAGAGGGTGCCTGAACACACTACCCCATATTGTAGTGCACTATAGCTGAACGAGTATGACACGGAAAGGAACGCACAGTATGCCGCGGTCAATAACCAACTTGCGGCCGTGAATAAGCGCATTGAATGTCTGGAACGAGAGACGACGCAGTTGCAGCAACAGCGACAAGACCACGGCGAATTGGGAGGGGACGCTTCGATCATTCTCAACAGAAGCAGCAATGTCAACGCCATTCACACTGGTGGTGGTAGTGGTTCGTAAGGAAGAGGAAAAAGGCACCTAATTGCTGTCTGCCTATAGGCGACATGGCGCAGTGCCTTATAGGGGCGGGGGGAAGGAGGGATAAAAATAATAGAAGGAAATAGATGAAGAAATAGAGAGGCAAGCGACGGAAAATAGAAGGAGATAGGAAAGTGGGGATCCGGTCGAAGCAGTCCAAGGGCGGGGCACCACAATGCGAGAGCTGCACGGCGTCAGGAGACCGCGGAGGATGAACCAGTCGGCGGGAGCTACGCTGGCGTCGGAGATCGCAAGGGCACGACCGTCCAGCTTGAAATCCTGCGAGCGAATCCCCCACACTGAAGAAGGAAGGACGCACGGAGAGTCGCGTTCCCCCAACACTTTTGAATAGCAACCATGGCGGCTTCCCGCAAGTTTGTCGGAAGACGCACCGTCTGGCAATGGAACTGTAGGGGCTTCAAAAACAAAAAAAGACACCATGGTGCAATATATGAAAACTGTGTCGAAAACCAACCTTCCCGACGTGATTGCTTTGCAAGAACCTTTCGGCCAGGCTCAGCTACCGGGCTATGCGGCGTGTGGCTCTCCATGCGAATGCACGGGAAAGGACATAAAGGTGTGTACCCTGGTTTAAAAAGGGACGGCCTTTATCGACCATTCACTTGATATCAGCGAGGAGTCGGACATAGACCACAACCTGATTGAGGTCGTGCTCTGCATTGGAAACAGTAAGACCGTCCTAATCGTGCTTAACGTGTACAATCCCCCTTCAAAGAGGGGCCTCACGCACAACTTTGGTGTCCTTTTTCGTGAAGCAATGGCCAAGGCCACCTCCAGTCCCCTCTTAATCTGTGGAGACTTCAACGCACCGCACACGCAAGGGGGATATGGAGCCGACTCGCCCAAAGGGAAAAGGCTAGTCGAACTGATGGACGAGCTGGGCTTGGTTCTACTCAATGAACTGGCATCGCACACATGTATCGGACAGGCTGCGTGCCACGACACGTCCCCTGATCTCTCCATTCGGTCAGACGCTGGCGCGATCGCCTGGTCGAAAACCTTTGAGGATCTCGGGAGCGACCACAGAGTGCTGTGTGTGACAATGGGAGAGGATAAAGGCAAGATGGACGACTGCCAAAAAGCTAGAGTCGTGGACTGGGATAAGTTTCGAAAGCACAGAGAACGAGAGAAGCAGGAAGGGCCGATCTAGGATATCGGGGAATGATGAAAAAAGCTACAAAAATTAGAATGGCCAGACAGGCGAAAAGAACCAAGAAATCTATGCAGCCAAGAGCGAGTCAGCAGAAACTGAACAGGAAAATACGCAAGAATATTGCCGAGATCAACCGAGAGATTGAGGCCCACTGCGTTTGACTGTGCGAACAAGAATGGCAGGAGCTGTGCGATACGATGGACAGAAACTTGAGTGCAGGGTGCACATGGAAGATTCTCAGGCACCTGCTGGACCCGACCAGCACGAGAACGGCGACTCGTGTTCAGATGGCCAAGCTGCGACACAAGTACAAAGACGACCCGCAGGCCTTCGTGGAGGAGATCATCCAGACGCACCTCGCTCACCCGGCAGACGAGAGTCACGTGGAATACTGCGGGGCTCCCAGCGAGGAACTAGACGCAGAACTTTCCGTGCATGAAATCAGAGCAGTCCTCCAACTACTGAAGACTTAATCGGCGCACAGCCCTGACAAGATCGCCCACCGAATTCTGAGGAACCTGAATGATGACGCCATCGAGAAGCTACGTCAGTATATCAACGCATGCTGGAAGGAAGGCCGTATTCCAAAATAATGGAAGACAGTGGATGCCATACTAATACCCAAGCCAGGTAAACCACTTGAGGTTCGAAATATGAGGCCGATATCTCTGACGTGCTGCATCGGGAAAGTCATGGAGCACGCCTGCCTAAACAGGGTGACGACGATCCTCGAGAAGCGGGATGTCTTTGGCCCTCACAACATCGGCATCCGCAGAGGACTTTCGACGCAGGATGCTATGCTGCAAATCAAGGAACAGGTCGTTAACGCACCAAGCACGAACGAGCGTACCCTGCTCGGGTTAGACATCAAATGCGCCTTCGATACAGTAAAAGACGCGGCAATTTCGGACAAGACCAGCCAACTAGATCTTGGTTCAAGGTTCCACCGGTACGTCAGCAGCTTCCTGACCAGACGTAAGGTGACGGTGAAGGTCCACGGCGCCCCACCACGAACAGTTGACATGAGAGGTGTGGGTACGCCGCAGGGCTCGGTGCCCTCACCCATGCTTTTCAACCTCATCATGATCAGACTACCGGAGCGTCTTGATGATATATAGGGCATCAATCACATGCTCTACGCAGACTACTTGACCGTGTGGACCACAGCGAATACGAGCGTTGGTGAAATGCAAGAGAGAATGCAGCAGGCCGCCCGGGCCATGGAGCGGCACCTCGAAGGCTCGGGATTCATCTGCTCTCCCGATAAATCGGAAATCCCCCTGCATACACCACGCAAGAAAGGACCTCACCCGCAGGCTGTACTGGACGCCCGTCGCTTGGACATCCGCATCACGACGAAGGATGAGACCCAAATACCAACGGTGTCCAAATACGAGTGCTCGGCCTGTGGCTGGAAGAGAGCAGTGCGAACCACGAGCTGGTAGCGTGACTACAAAAGAAAGTGGCCGCTGCAACGCACCTTATGCATCGATTAGCGAAAAAAAGAAAATGGCTAAAGAAACACAGCGTGACAAAGTTAATACATGCGTACGCGCCGAGCCACACAGCGTATTTCGCCGCGTACGCCGAGTAGAACAGAAGCGAAATCGAGGAGCTGAACGCGGCGATTCGTCGAGCGTTCAAGGTAGCCCTGGGTGTGCCCCGGTACACGGAAACCCATAGGCTTCTGGAGCTGGGTGTGCACAACAACCTCGACGAGATAGCGCAGATGATCGCGCAGCTCGAGAGGTTGTGTGGCACAAGAACGGGAAGACGCATTCTCCATCTGCTCGGGATTCGATATCATGAGGCGCGTGGACTGAAGGAAGCATTGCTACCGGAAGTCAGGGACACCATACTAACAGAAAACATCCCCAGGGACATACACCCCCTTCACGACTAGCAACGACGAAAATGCAGAGCTGCGGCAATCCTGAAGGTGCATGGAAGCCAAGAGGGTGTCCTCTTCGTCGATGCGGCCAGGTCTGTCAGCCGGCGGTGGCGATGGGGGACGCTCTGAACCTCCGCCGCTATCCGTGAACAAGCGAGGCGAAGTCCAGGCGCTAACACCACCACCACTGATACTGCTATGACAACAACGACTGCGGCGACAGCGACAACATCAACAGCAAGTTCGGTCAGCGGTGGCGGGACCTGCTTTCTCAATGACGGTCCTGGATACAACAGGATAGGTTCGGGTCACGGCATCAGCACGGCTGTCATCATCCGAAGCTGCAGAAGAGATGGCCATAGCATTAGCGGTGCTCCACAGCGGTGCAGACAATACCATGATTATTAGCGATTCTAAATCAGCGATTCGGAGCTATATTAAAGGCTGGGTTCTGAGGAAGTGGCACGCATGCCTAACGCCAGGGCTAGGGACTTAGCGTAAGGCAAGGTTTTCTTCGTTCAACGAACTGGGAGCGCAGAGAAAACACAAAGGACGAAGCGAGGAACCACACAACACGAGCGCTCAACTAACAACTGATTTATTTTCCACATCGGAAGGACATATATAAACACAAAATGCGCATGTCAAACAAAAAAAAAGATTATGACGAAATCAAGGGCAGCATGCGAAGCGTGTAATCAAGGCACATGTCTAAGGGTTATCTAGGTAGCTGAATTCAATTTTTTTTGTTTTGTTTTACATGCGCATTTTGTGTTTATATATGTCCTTCCGATGTGGAAAATAAATCAGTTGTTAGTTGAGCGCTCGTGTTGTGTGGTTCCTCGCTTCGTCCTTTGTGTTTTCTCTGCGCTCCCAGTTCGCTGAACGAAGAAAATGAATTACCAACTGGCCCACATTTTGATCCTTTTGTAAGGCAAGGTTACTGACAAGGCCCTCAAGTGGTTTGCCGCTCACATGGGGGACATTGCAACTATCGACAACAACAGCAGTAAAAATAGCAGCAACGACGCCAACAGTCAAAGACTAACGGGCATCCCACCCAACCATAACGAGCGCGCCCACCTCGTCGCGAGGCAACTTACCCCCCGCGACGCAGCCACCCAGGGAGAAGCCGCCTTCGTGGTTGGGAGGAGCACCGACCGAGGCACGGTGGTGGCCACAGGCACCGACACTGCCACGATTGCCACCCCCACCGCGTTCGTTGCTGTGGCAACTGAAGTTGGTGCAGAAGAGGCAAAGCAACAGAGGTGCGCCGACTGCTATGGAGAAGAATTTCCTGCCGCGCACCACGACGTGCTTGAGCACTATAGGAAAGACCGGAAGTAATTTCCGCAACCCCACGGGCACCTGGGCAGGTCGCAGGCGGTGGACCTAAGAAGGCTGCAGACGGCCACGTTCACCAACCCCTACCATCTGCACCGCCTATGGCCCACGCTGCACCCGTAGCCTGGCTTTCCGTGGTGCGCGCACGAACGGGCCGGTATGGCACATATACTTTGGCAATGCGAAAGAGATGAAGATAGGCCACGAGAAAGGATGACGTCAACTGAGGGACCCACCGAAACGGGCCGCCTTGCTGAGCGATAGCAAGCCGCCCTTCTCAGTGAGGCCCTCTAAGACCAGGTGTGGGCCGTCCAGCGGGCCAGGGCCGTCACCGAGGACCTCAGAAGATGTTCCTCGAACGATGTGTCTCTGGCAGCCTAGTCCCGGGCACAGCAACAACCGTTGGGCAGATAAAGCTTATTCAACTCAACTCGTTGCCAAATTTTGGTCTGTCTGTCTGTCTGTCTGTCTGTCTGTCTGTCTGTCTGTCTGTCTGTCTGTCCGTCTGCCTGTCTGTCTGTCTGTCTGTCTGTCTGTCTGTCTGTTTGTCTGTCTGTCTGTCTGTCTGTCTGTCTGTTTGTCTGTCTGTCTGTACATTTGTCTGTTTGTCCGCCGCAACGATACCTTAAACAGCCCCGAACGATACCCCAAACGGCCAACCTGATCCACAGCGCCCACCAATATTCCTGAAGTTTCAGCGTTCATACTCGTGGGAATATCAATTAAAAAACAATTATTGCGCATATCTGAGGCACCATTATAACATTTCAATGTTTCGTATGTGTGTCTTCATATTAGAGAAGACATACATAAGTAGTTCTAAGGACCGCAGGGTTTATCACGCTGCGCTGACAATGCAACGCGATGCTCAAAAAAGGCAAGTGTTTCAAACGCTTTGCTAAGACGACACGATGGTGACACCTGTCCATCGCTTTGCGTTCTACACCTTATCGCCTCCGAGACAAGCGCGCACGTTTTCCTTCGTTTTCAACGATAACGGCCAGGGAGCGTTCGTGTCTCACGTGCCTCGATGCGCTAATTCGCCTTCGCTGCACGGATCGAGACTCTATAACGCAGCGCCTCCAGAATACAATTCACCAATTTTCTCGCACAAAACATCAAATGAACATTTTGTTCACTCTCTCCAGACGCAAGACTATCGTCTTTATACGACATTTGCAGTGAAACATGCAGATACAGGGCCTATGCTTTTTCATTCTAATCCCGATTTCTATATCCCGTGCTTTACCCCAAGGGCAGGAAGCAAACCGGATGCTCGTCTGGTTTACCTCCCCGCCATTGCTCTTCTTATTTTCTATCTCTTTTTTCCTGCCATGCAGTGACCTTGCTCGATACCAGGTTGCGAAATATTCCGCACTTCTTGTGTGATCTTGCGATGCGGGCATTCGTGATTCCAAATTTCGTGATCACTTGAAATAACTATCGGGCGAAAATGTCAGCCGTCAATTTCGCGATATATCACTCACTAGTTCGTGGGTTCACGGACGTCAATTTATTGCACTCCTGCTGTTGTCGTTCAGTGGTTATAGTTGCTTGCCGATTAAGAAAGTGGTTTGTTTGCGCGGTATATGATAGTTCATTAAACGGGGACTGCAGGGTGATTTGGTTTGTTTGAGACTAAACAATGTGCCGAAGAACATACGAAGCAAGAAATTTTGTTTTGGCTCATCAATAGTTGCCATCAGTTGTTAATTGGCATTCGGTACTTTTTCGTGGCACAGTATATCTCGTTGCAATTAGTTTCGTTAATTTAGTTTATTTTACCCTCAATCACACATAGCTTTACAGAGGGGGGTATCGTAATAGGAACAATGAAAAAGAGCCATCAAAGTACACATACACACACACACACACACACACACACACACACACACACACACACACACATATATATATATATATATATATATATATATATATATATATATATATATATATATATATATATATATATATATATATATATATATATATATATATATATATATATATATATATATATATATATATTATATATATCATACACGCTTGACGCGTCCTCACGTAAATAATTTGTATTGTAGAGGAAAATAGGTCATGATTAGAAATGGAAACTGCATCGCAGGGAAGGTGGTTTCAATCGTCGGTTTTGCGGGCGAATGAGGGAGAGTATTAGTGTGGCAGCTCATGACATGTACCTTGTGGGGATGATCTATACGAGATTCTGGTGCCTATAGATTCTTGTTGACATGTGGTACAGAACAGATGAGCACGGACTGCTAATACTATTTGTGATTAGCTACTGAGAGATTTAATTTGTACTTAGCTCAGCAAGTGAACTAGCAGTTATTTCATTATTCGCAACTTATTAGAAATTTCCTGCATACTAGAACTCGAGGAAAAGCAGTGAAACTTTGAAAAAAAAAGCAAACAACTGAGACGTAGACGTACGAGCTGATGGCAGTATTGAAGTAATAGCTCTAATACATTTAATTGTTTTGTTCCTTGTCTTAATCTCGATAACGCCTTGGGATTGAAAGGAAACAAGTACCTAACCTTCGAATGCCAAGCAAGCGCCCCCTTCCTTTTTGAGAGATTTTAACTAAGCGCCAATCGAGCACCAATGACTGGCCCACAGGGCTAAATAAGCGCCCTCTCTCCCAATCTGACTGAATTCTCTTTCATTCTACCTAGAGAGGAGAAGGGAACTTGCCCGTCAATTTACTTTATTTGTTCCAAATGTGGAGCTATGCGTGTTGCCGAGTTAAGCGCGTCCTCAACTACATCTGGAATAATAGGTCCTTTTTTTTCAGATATCTTACAGCAGGAAGAAATGCATAGCCTGAACTAAGTTGAAAGGAAGACACCCCGCTATAATGCTGT